CAAGGAGACATCCCGCTAGGATAGCTGCACATGGTCGTGATCCATACCCTCACATTGATCACTTTTTGCCGCGAAAAGTTTTTAGTTAGAAAACCAAGGAGCATAAGAGCAGCCACGAAGCCTGAGCCCAAGTTTAAATCGACGATTACGATTAAATACCGTGCATGAAATGTAAACTCTCGATTGTACATTATCTTTGCCTTAGGAAAAAAATCCAAAAAGAGCAGTGGCACACTCAGATGGGCAAGAAACGAAGTGAGAACGCAGTTTTTGCCTGAAAAAAACAAAGCTCTCAGAGCTGCTGCATTCTTTTGCAATTACGACGCTGGAACCGATCCCATTTGAACAACTTCCGGCGTATCTCTATCCTGTGTGATTGTTTAAAAAAAGAACACGGAAAAGGCTGCCTCTACGCCATTTATGTCGTGCTTACAGGAAACTCTAGACTGCCTCGATATCGATATGCTTACCGAATGAGTCCCTCTATGGAGGACGCCCTGACAGGTGCTGTCAAGTGGAGCGCAGAATTTGCTGGCGCGGGTGAAATAACGTTGACAACGCTCGACTTGAGCAAAGCTCTCGACAGCGCTGATCATGACATCCGTCTGCACAAGCTAGAATGGAACGGCGTGTGCTCTGACTATTTCCGTAAGTACCTGCGAGACCGAAAGCAGATGATGGCTAGCACCCCTGGCCTAATTCTTCCCTTGATCCGAGGCGTCGCCCAGGGCTCCACAGGTGGATCTATCTCCATTCTTATCTCGATCAACGAACTGTCATCTTTCCTTCCCTATGGCCGGCTCCTGCCCCATGATACCGACACTCAACTCCTGGACCACCCTCCCGATGCCATCCGCTTATTCCACCCGAATGCCCGTGCCGAGGAGTCTACCCTATACCTTTAACATTGAATTTCAGTTGAACGGTCTCAAAACACACCCTGACAAAGGCGTATTCCATCACTTTTGACGCTAAATATTTCGCTGGAAAGGCATCCGGCCTCTACATCACCCTATCAGGCCTACATAACCCACCATGTCCCACCTTGAAGGTCCTGGCCATACTCCTGGACCAAGGACTGACCTAGGAACCCATATATCGGTGGTGATTCGCAAATGTAGCACTATCCTTCTGGCCCTCTACAAAATTCGCCACAATTTCATACCCAAAGTGCTTGAGCTCAAGGTATAGGTTCACATATTTCATACATATTGTATTGTCTCCCTATTTTCCCTATTTGGGGCGTGACCGCCCAAAACCATCTGTCACGAATTCAGAAAGCTACCAACTTTGCAGCGAGCCTTCTCACTGCGGTACGGCCCTGCGAATCTATCTCACCAGCCCTCAGTTCGTTAGCGCGGCTGTGTGCGACGGAAATGGTGCAACAGTGATATTGCCCCAAAGCGTTCTGGATGAACGGGACCGCCCGCCAGCCCCCAGATCCCCCTTCGTCAGACGATCCCGGTTATCCCAGAAAGGAAGCGGGGGCGGTCACTGCGGGGGAAATGCCGCGTTGGAGAGCTGTCGCTTGTCAGCCACACGGAGTACCTTCTCCTATCGGGCCGCACGTGCCTGGAATTCCTTCCCGAATGCGATTACCGAGGTGTGGAGTCGGCAGGCGTTGCTGCGTGCCGTGGATGAACCGGCATAAGTGACAGGCGGATGACCGTGCTGTATTTTGCATACATCGTGGCCGTGACCGTATTTATTGCGCAGGCGTCAATGACTGTTACATTAACCTACAACTTGGTCTGATTAGCTTCATAATATATGATGAACATGTGGATGAATCCCAAAGAAATGAACATGAACATGACTATAGTGAGCTCAAAGGCATATAACAGCTATATTGAGTCATCGCCGAATGGAATATCATTTGGAACATCTGCAATTATGGTGTTGCGCAAAACGTCAAAACGGACACCGGTGGGTGCAGGATAAACGAAGTGTGTGTGTGTGGGGGGGGGGGGGGGGGGGCGGGAAGGGAGGATGCGTATGTGGTGCGGTCTTGAGATGAGTGAAGGTTGCAAAACAAATGCCGCTCTTCTTTCTCAAATTACATAGCGCTATTCTTGCGTCTTGCACCACTGTTGCGATTTGGCGCATCCCACCTAACAAGATTTAATTCCTGCTGCGATGTCATGGCCGCTGACTGCTAATGGGTTAGGTGCTCAAATTCGTTTGTATCATGACATATTCCCCCCCCCCCCCATCAAATGTGTATGTGGAGCTACCCACGCCGGCTCATTTATCTGACTCTGCAATATCTGCCTAGGCACTAGAGTACTGGACTCTTAGCAGAAGCAGGCAACAGGCCAATACAACCCCTAAAAAGGACCACGATTTGTCCTGACGTGCCTGAAGCAATTTCGAAGCGCTTAAGCGTCGCTGTCCAATAAAGGGCATGGTCGCGTCCCTGTTTGTGCCTCTGTGATAGAAGCATTCAAGGGATAGTGCCGTCTTTGCCGCATATTGCAAAAACATACACTGGTAAAGCCTAAGCACCATTTATGTCTAGCAAAATGTGTCAACGGTAGCGGCACTGTTACATGCCACTGCGGCACGACCATAACTATCGAGTTTAAATTACTCGGCCAACGTTTTGACACCGCTCTATATGTCTGCGTTTTTTGCAGCCCAGATTTCAGTTCTGGAATGGGCGATTGTGACGCGTAAAAATGATTCATGGGGTAAGTATTATAAGTAGCCTCCGCAACTGTGCGCAGATATATCAAGTCGATCGCGTTGAAATTGCCATTAGAACTGGCGTGGCAAACAGAAAAAAGTAAAAGTGCTCGCTGAGCCAAGTGTCGTCATGCTCATGTTTGGTCCCTTTCTCATTGTGTTCTTGCACAGTTATTCGTGAGTTGAGCATGTTTACTTATATTCACAGGCTGGGTTATTGCGCTATTGTTAAATCACTCTATTACAAATTTTACACGCGTAATGCCTAGCAACTATATCAAATTTATTTTATTACGTAGCAGAGAATGTGCTTTGTGATGGAAACGAGCAGAGCTTGCCCAACATCCATTAAGAGTCAATTGACGTCCACTTTATTTGGAAGTCACGCCCACGGACGTCAGATCGAACGGTTTTTATATTTATACTTGCCTTGAGCACCGCATGGCGTTCGGGAAGCAGAATTTGAATAGTGTATGGCTTAATAATGCTGTGGCTAATAAATAATGCTATGGTTTTTTTGAGTGCATCAATCAATTTGAAATAGTCTGCACGAAAAAGTCTGCACGCATTCCCGTATGTCTAGCTCAGAAACTGGAAGGCTTTAGGCCCCAAGAAGGGTAGGGCAGTGGCTGCATCGCATGATCTTAAAAATGGCTTTTTCAGTTCAAACCTCACACAAATTTGGAATACTTCTTTTAGGTGCTGGTGCACCAGGCGCTCAAACGCACCATTATCAAAATCACCGTACATCATCAATATCACTATAACATTGGCTTCAACTTGACAGTCATGCCCCGACATCAAAGCATGTTTGGAGCCGACTAACGTTGTTTTATTTGAATTTAGACATCAAACGAATAACAGTGGCCGAATCAGGAGGGAAAGCAGGATTTGAGTTAAGTTGGTCAACTTTACACGCCCAGCCCTCCGACCGCTTTTAGAAAGTGATGGCACTTTGCCGCAGTATGACGCATGGTGGAGTTCGCTTGATGCCGACCTCATGTTTGCGTATCTGTTTTCGTGACAAGAGTAGCTAAAGCTCACAGACTATTTATTTCACACCCATTTTGGTCAAGCATTGCCTTGCGAACATAACACAGGACACATGTTTGGAAAAGCAATAGTGATAAGCACGAGGACAGGCGGCATTTCCCCATCGGAGTGGAGTTTGATATATGCAGAACACATCAAACTCCGCAGACGAACGTGGTCACTACGCATGTAACGGTGTTGGTGCAGTGGTCATTTTATGAAAACGGATATTACCGACCAAATCAGACCTGTCGGGTCTTATTTTGCGTGATAACTACAAAAAGGTGGCACACTCCTTTTAATGCTTCTGTAGAACGCGCGTTATAAGTACACATTATGCGCATTAACAGAAAATCGGCCTCTGTTGAATGGTGTGGTGGATGGGAGATCCTCGTTGGCAGGCAAACATATTTTTATACATTTGTGGACATGGGGGCTCGTAATGGAGCTCAATCCCATCTCCGGTGCTCTCCGCTGCAGTCTGTCGTTTGCTGTTAAGCCGCTCTACCCGTTTGTAACTCGGCCATTTCGAACCGGCAGTCGTGTACCCAGCTCAAACTCAAAGCAGAAGCGTGACGGACAACGCATGCTTGAGGGTGGCCTGGCCTTTGAACTTCGCCCCCGCGCGTGCGGCGTCTACATCAGCAGGGACACCTGACAGGGACAGGGGGTTCCCTGCGATCCCCCTCGCCGCGATCCCAACTGCTTAAGCCGAGATAAGACAATGGTGTGCTGTAAAACAGCCCTCGCGATTCTAGGCAACTTTTACAGCGTGCC